TGTGTGTGTGTGTGTGTGTGTGTGTGTGTGTGTGTGTGTGTGTGTGTAAGAAACAGAAGCTTGCTACGTAGCCAAGGCTTGCCTCAAACTCAACCTCCTTCTGCCTGATGCTCCCTGGTGTTGGATAACAGGCGTGTGCGTACCACACTTAGCTTAAGTGGCGTTTTTCTAGGGAATAGAGAGAAAATTACTTTCCATTCCTCTCCCATTAATAAACTGTAAATCAGATCAAAAGTAATTTTACAAAGACTACTGGGTATGCCATGTTCTCAAGGGTCCATTTAAGACTATTCTCTCCTCCTGGAGCGCTGGTTAGACGCATAGGGGTGCTTCCAATGGAGCTGTTTTCTTAGTGACTTCATGAACCTCATAGGACTCAAGGACAGTATCACCACACTCAATGTTTGAACACTCCCCAACTTCTCTTTGTTCAAAAACAAAAAGGGAAGAAAGGAGGGAAAAGTGGAAAAGCCAAATTATTAAAGATCATTTACTTTAAAGAAATCCAATCTGAATCAAAGTACATTTAAAAAATAGGCCTAAGGGGGCTGGAGAGATGGCCCAGTGGTTAAGAGCACTGCCTGCTCTTCCAAAGGATCCAGGTTCAATTCCCAGCACCCACATGGCAGCTCACAACTTTCTGTAATGCCAGTTCCACGGCATCTGACACCCTCACGCTAATGCACATAAAATAAAAATTAAATAAATTATTTAAAAAAAATAGGCCTAAAATTTGTGAACCAGATAAAAATTATCAACAAGAATTTACATGAGTTTCTTCTTTGAAAGGCAGTTTTTCAAATTTAAAAATGAAGTTTATAAAAAAGATCTATGAAGGATGGTCAGTGAATGTCCTTAGTTTGTGTCAGCAACAGAAATAGAATATTAATATTGATGAAGGTCATGTTATAAAAATGCCATGAGGCAAGACAAAAATCACAAGTCAATAGCCCAAACTGGCCTAGACTTTTGTTTTGGCCATTTCTCTAAGGGCTCATTTATAATTCTGTGTGAAAAAGCCAATATATTTATTATAAAATAAGACTGCTGTCTACCCCATTTGAAAACAGATGGAAATGAAGTTTGGAATGTAAAATTAAAATGGCTGTGTTGGGATCACGTTGTCCACACCACGGAAAAGAACTGTAGCAGTAACTGCAGCCATTCTTCCCCCACAGAAAAGAAACAGGAATCACCAACAATCACTGTTTCCCTGGGTTTACAAATTGTAGGAGAAAAACCAAGAACTTAAAATCAGCTGAGAACCAAGCTGGAAGAAAGTGGCTGTGGATGGGAAACACGGCCAAACTCCATTACAACATGTTGAAGGATAAACTACCGCAACACTTTGGTACTAGAATCTTTTTGCATGTTGACAGTTACTTGGGCAGAGGAACCATGTCCTGAAGTATTCAGGAAGCCCATGTGCAGACAACCATTCTTTGTTGTAATGGTCTTTGAGCCAGGGAGCAATACAAAGGAAGAGGAAGATGCATGCTCAGCTAGTGTAGAAGCCGGGCCAAGCCACAGTGAAAAGCACCCCAAGCCTGCCCCATCACTCTAGAGCAAGGACAACAAAATAACGACCAACGGAAGGAACCCTCTTCCCAGCAGACACACAAGGTGTCATACAAGCAGCAGGTTAAGCAGGCAGTCGACAGAGCTTCCCTGGGAAGTTCCGAAGTGAGCATGAAATCTGGGTGGATTTCTCATGCACCTCTGAAATTCCGAGGGGGAACACGACAGGACAACACATGGCAAACTGGGCTGCTACGGAGCTCTTAAGAACCTAATTAGACAAGCAGTGTGACTGTCTTCATTGCTGTGGTGATTTTTTAACAGGGGCACAGAATAACTCACCTGCGATGGAAGATTTGTTTGTGCATTAACGAAAACAACGGACTGAGCTTTCAAGGCAAATAACAAATAAATAGATAAATCCAAGCAAGGCAAGCCAGTGTGGACACTTGGAAACAGCTGTTAATGGGACACACAGAGCAAGCTGTCACTCTTAAGTTAGCCACCACAACCACAGCAGGTCCCACAGCTAGCAATGAAAAACACTGATCAATTACCAATCACGGAAGTAGATCAATACTATGCATCGGAAGTAAGCCTCTCTTTATCAGACGGCTGAGTGTGGATCTCAGCCTTGTGATAGGTGGCATCGTAATGATCTTTCTTATTTCTCCTGAAGAAACCACACTACAAGGAAGCAAGGTATTCAGTCAATTTTACAGTTCCGTGGCTAAAAGCTAAAGAAAAGCACACCTCTGATTTGAACCTCAGTGAGCGGTCACTGCCCTGTAACCCTGTGCCGGCATTTAGCATAGTCTTGTCATTTGGTGACCCTAGCTAAAGATGACACACTGACTAACTGACTTTTCTATTTGTAGCAGAAATCCTGAGGTCATCCTAAAAGGAAAATGCATGCACATTAGATTGGAACGTCAGGTGATTTTTTTTTTTTTTTTTTTTGCTTTGCAGAACACACTGTAAAGGCTCAAAACATTCACCTCTGAAACAAAGGATGGAAAGTAAATTCTGTAAAATTCAGCACAAGTCAAAATAAAATGATATAAATATAGATATTTAACTGCTTTTGCAGTAAATTTTACAGAACAATACTCTCTACTGTCTAGACCAACTTGGAGGGTGAATCACCCACAATCAATCTGAATGAAGGAGTGATTGCTGTCCTTTTTCCTGGATTCTGCATCCTGTGACCCTGGAATGGGAGAAACCCATGTTCCTCAGTTTAGGTCACTCTAAATGAGTATAAAAATTCAATTCCACCTTCTGCTATTACGTCCTTCATGCAACAGTGGAGAACTTTTCCCGTTTACTTTCATCCCGTTCATAGGCTGTGGGGACTATCTTTTGAAATAAAACTTGGCCAAATAAATTTCCTGGCCAAGTTGTGCCTCCTTGACCAGCAACTCAGGAAGGAAAAAGATGGAGGTTGCCTGTCGTAAGGTGCAGGCCGCCAGATAAGACATGGCCACTCACGTTTAGATAATCCTAAATTGAAAATTCGACTCTCCCACTGTACCAGCCAAAGGCAACTCCTGGTTATCATGGGATGGGGCCATTCCAGGACATTTCCATATTACAGAACTCTGTACTGGGAAGCACTGGCTCACGTGGCTCTAAGAGTAATACACAGTGAACACGCACAGCCAAGCTGCCCTCACAAGAAGTGGTAAATGAGAAAGGAAGGAACATTAACCAAAAACAAATAGTCTTTTGTTTTTTCCGGACAGAATTTCTCTGTGTGGTGCTGGCTGTCTTGGAGACCAGGCCAGCCTTGAACTCAGAGATCTGCCTGCCTCTGCCTCCCAAGCCCTGGGATTAAAGGTGTGTGCCACCACTGCCAGCAAAAAACGAATAGCCCTAAGATCCCTGAGGACTTTTGTGCTTCACTTCTAAAAGAACTGTGCAACAGCCAGAACTTAAGAAGATAAAGCCAGGAGTCCTCTGGTAAAGCGGAGCTCTCCATTGTATCTCTGACACTGAGGTAGCTGGACGCAGCTCAATTTAAAGGCTGCTGAACTAGAATCCACCCATCCCCTCTCCCTCCTTTTCTTCCTTCCACAGTGCCGGAAACGGAATCCAGGGCTCTATACATCTTCTAAGGCTGCTTTACTGCCATGCTATATCCCTGGACCCTAGAACCCTTTCTGGTCCTAAAACTCCATAATTTTAATTACAAATAACTGTGTTTATAAAGAAGAGTATAAAGTAACAAGACTGACTACTTCCACGAGGAGGTTGAGGAAGATAACTGATCATTTTAGAATCTACCTCAGGGTCTGGAAGTTAAGTGCGTCAAAGAACCCACCAAGATCATTTAGTCTGACCCAGTTATTAAACAACTGAGTCGCAGGGGGATGAAATGATTTGCCTAACATTCTATATGGCTCAGGTATCTTACCTCTGCATCTACGGCCAAGACTACACAAGGATTGAAGACTGCCAATAAGATCTGCTCTCAGACAAGTCTGACCTTGTGACCTCTTCCAGAGAGTACAAGATCATGCTCAAGTATCAAAACCCCAAACTGACTTCTTGGTATCGAATAATTGTACCAAATGCTGATTAGCTGTATTTGCCAGATAAACCTAATGCTTCAGACACAGCCGAGTAAACATTAAAATCCGTGTATCAGGGAGGCCACTGGTATCAACAGACAAGTCTGGTACCATCTCAGTCTAGCAAAAGGAAGTTGTTTGGGAGAATGCCGGGGGTGGGGCCGGGGTGAGATGAACTCTAAACTGCAAAGTCAGAACACCCTTCGTGTGCCATGCTCCAGGACACAATGGACACAATGGATCCTAGCACCTTCTCACTTCACCCCAAACCCTCTGGAAGAGAGGCATTTGGGAAGTGTTGAATGCTAGTGTTTCTGCAGGAGCCAAACAGCAAGATTTCGAATATCCCCTTCACAGGTTCCACCCAGTCAGTCAAAGCTTCCGGTTTCCATAGAGTTTTGCAATCTGGAGTTACAGAGATAAGGGCGGTGGACCTCCATTACTCCCTGGGACTCATCTAAGACCTACAGAGGTGGACCAAACCTCATAACCATCTCCTACATGGTCTTTCGATGACAGACTCCTTATAGGTAGGACGCAGGGCAAGCTTATCACACAGGGATAAAAGTGCAGAGTCAGAAAGTCAAAGTCTAATGAGAGCCATCAGACTGAGCCCGGATGTTCATCTTGCTTGTTACAGGCCAAGAAACCCCCAGATGGACTATCGAATCATGTTTTTCTGCTCCTAATCTAGACATAAGGGTAATGATTCCCAGTGGCTGTCAGGAAGGCTTCTTTACAAAAGGAGAAATTAGCAGCAATTGACATTCAGGTTAAACTGTTATCTGTCAGTTTGGCTTAGTCTTAACAGTTTGATCTTAAGTTCGGAAAATGCTAAATAAAGTAGTAAAAATCAAATTATTTGCCAAACATGCTGAATTACATATCAAACTATTTACATGTAACTAAAGAATCTTTAAATATATATAAATCATTAGGTAGATAAACAGGTATTCATTGTAAAATTCTCTCAGAGTTGCTGTATATTTCATGATAAAATGTTGGGGAAAAAAACAATGTAAAAAGAAAATAAACACATGTGTTAGTCTCAATACTCAATTTTTTTTTTTAATGTGGAGTTTACTTCCAAAACACAAGTGACAGACATGACTTACCTTCCACAGTAAAAACACTAACAGAGCCAGCATCAAAATCCCAGCAAGGACAGCCAGGAGGATGATCCACCAAGCTATTCCTGAATACTGAGCTACCGTCTTTGAGGGAAACACCGTCACACGAACCTAAAGGGCACAAGAGAAAGACCACTGTAAACCAGGCGGCCATTCACATCAGGCCTTCATGGCTTCACTTCTGCTCAGTTCTGCCCCTGAACACATTGTGAATGAAAAGTGTACAGACGCATAAGTCACTTTCCGGTGACAGCCCCTTTTTCTCAATAACGGAATACTGCTTCAACAGGCTTTTCCAGGAAAGGCCTGGGCTGTATTTCTTTGCTAATTTAACTTTTATTAGATCTTAGGGGTTTTGATTTTGTTTTGTTTTAAGAAAAGCAGAGAAAAGTATGAGTCACCAAGTACCCATCATTCCCCTTTCAGTCGGAACTATCAGCAGCTAGTTGTGTTTCACAATTACTTTTGGTTTTGTTTTTGTTGGTTTGTTTTTTAACTGTGCTGTGTTGTGCTGGGGTCAAGCCTTGCACATGCGCTGTAAACGCCCTACCTCCAAAGTCCACTTCCAACCTCTAACCTGTATCCTTTTGAGAATGATCATGCTTTCTTTTAGTCAGTTTTGAGCAATGGAAAGAAAAGGGTCAGTTTGGGTGCAAATTATTCTATAAAGCTCAGATTCCAAAGATGCAGGGAAACAGCGGGTGAGCTTTATAACAGAGGGGCCATTTGACTTTTTTCCTTAAGCTATCAAACTAAAGACCCTCACAATAACACAATTTGCTCTTTAAAAAAAATGTAGATAGATCTATATGTATGGACAAACTGAGTCCCTTCGGATGCAGCCTAGCGCTCAATCTATAGCAACGAGAAGCTTACATTCTAAGCACTTGGTCGATGGTAAACACCCGTGAAAAAGTGTTTACCCCAAAACCTCAAAAGTTGCCTCCGCAATTTTTAACAGCCCAGTAGAAATGTCTATAGGGCTCTCCAATTCCTGACAACTTTTCCCCTTGGTTTCATTGAACTTTATGCATTTCCATGGGGAAGCTTTCCACCGGTCCCTCATTTATCATGTGTCAAAGGCAGACAGGGCTCACACTCCACTGGTACATTCAATTTTAACACCAGTGACCAGTAGAGAGGCCACACCAGAACTGCCAAAACACCTGCTCCAAATGACTCTACGTTATAAAGCCCAGTCTCACCGAACAGCAGCATAAATCACCTGGCGTAGGTATCAAAGGCGCCAGCCACCCACTTCTGGGTGTTCTGCACAGACCAACTCATCTTTGAACAGAACACGGATCTCAAGTTCTCTGAATCTGAAGCCTGCAGAAAGAAAACCTCACTGCCCTGAAGAATGGAGGCTTTACTTCTACCTAGTACAAGTTCTTCTAGCTTCAGCAGGCAAGAAACTTGGATATTACCTACCCGGTTCTTAGGGATATAACGGAGATATGTGTGCACACATACACAGCCCCCTTTTCTCTGAAATCAAATTGAAATTCTGGCACAACAGAAGAGAGCACCAGATCTCATAGATGGTTATGAGCCACCATGTGGGTGCTGGGAATTGAACTCGGAACCTTTGGAAGAGCAGCTCTCAACCTCTGAGCCATCTCTCTAGCTCCCAAATTGAAATTCTTGACACTAAATTCTATTAAATTTCACTTCTAGCACCATAGTACAGGGGCGACGCCTGTGTGTTTTAACAGGTGCTTATTTGCCTTGCGGATTTAATTTAACTGATGTCAAAATACAATCATCTTACCTGGCTCAACTGTGTGATTTCTGTTTTCACTTGTTATGGCACTAAATTTAAAAGCATCTTACTGAGTGACAAACATTAAACTCTTGAAATTGGGCAATAAATAAACACAGAATTTTCTTTCTTTCTTTCTTTCTTTCTTTCTTTCTTTCTTTCTTTCTTT